AATAACAAACACACACACATATATATATATATATATATATATATATATATATGTGTGTGTGTGTGTAAATATATATATATAGACGTTAATTTAGTATGAACTTTGACTTTGTAAGAAATTAATGATTTCGAGCTATCGGAATTCATGCACAGGAATTTGCCATAGGGGCTTTGACTACGACGAATCGGTGGTAGAAACAAGACCTGTTCGGCACAGTATGAATTATTGCCAGGCTTCAGCTTCTTCAAGCGACTGGCGTGCGTTAGAATGTTCTATTTGATTCTCCAAGTTTCAAATTTAACAATTCTATATTACTTTGATTATTACTATAAAATAAACGCTGCCCGAACATTCACCGGTAGCAATTTTTAACGAAAATACTAGGTCGTGACTTGATTTGTCGTAACTAGACAAGCATAGGCTTATACCTTTGTGGATGGCGTGACCATGTTGAAAATCAATCCCCCCTTACATTCAGAGTGCTACCACTCCTAACATTGGTAGCACTGCTACCTCTAAAATTGTTCGTACTGCTACCCCTAGCATTGGTTACACTGCTACCCATAGCATTGGTTGCACTGCTCCTCCTAACATTGGCTGCACTGCTACTCCCGATGTTAGTGAAACTGTTGTAGTGCACATCTCCCACAGCCGTTCTATCAGGTCCATAGGTATCCTCGGGTGTCGTTTTCTCCTTGGACATCTCGTATACATATTTAGGGTCCAGATCATGACTGAGATGTAGGTCGAAGAAGACGATTGTAACCATCCCAGCGAACAGCTGTAGCACACATACAGATAAAACCCAGAACGTCAAGAAGCCTCGGAAGTACAACTCGATCAGATTGACTCCATCGGGTACACTATACACCGCTCCGTCAGGACGCGTTTCATGGACTTTGACATCGGTTGATGTGAAAATGGTGTTCTGCACAATGAACACACCTACCGCCGAAACTGTGACCACTACGCCCACGAATAAATTAGTCCTCCAATCACTAAAGGCCTGCGTTACAGACCTACAGAGATATGTATAATAGGCCAGAATCACCAACATAATAACCCAGCCTAAACTGGCGATGATGCTTACAATCCTATCGTACTGATTAGCATCTATGGCTAGCAACACCGCAACCGGTATGCATACAATGGCGGTCCACAACGTCACCCAGGCGTATGTCTTGGCGTTTACAAATCTGGGAGGGCTAGAATCCATTGCATGTAGTACAAATAAGAGGTATATTAATCTCTGTCTCACCACTTGTGCTCCCAGGAAAGTCATGACTGCTCCCACTCGTATCGTTGAATTCACTGTATACCATACAACTTGTGTTCCAAAGATACCTGAGCCTCTCTGCAAGGTCATCCAGGTATTGAGTGCTGCGCATACGACTGATAGGAGGACTATGATTAGATACACGTTCCCTCGAGCGCGTATAAGTGGATGATCTCTGCGCGCAAGACAGTAGCCCAGCAGACCACATGTGTACGCAAGCAAAAGAAAAACCCCCAGAGTACTCATGATGATGATGCATCGTTTGTCCTTGAAAGTGCCCCAGTACTTGCGCCCATCCGTCGCCATCATACACATGCCACCGAATACCAACCCATTCACCACACCACTCACTAAGAGAAACCACCTGCTGAATATGTTGTAGTCTCGCCCGGTTATCTGCTTTGTTTCGTAGACTAATCTCATCCGTTGGAAGAAATTACCTGTATGTGATACTACAGATGTATTTTCGGTTTCTTGGCTCGACGACTGTGTGTTGGTGATGAAAATTGCTTGTTTAGCAATTTTACTGTCATGCGTGGTGGTGCGTGTATTCTTAGTTGATTCATTTTCGCAGGCAGAGACAGACTCATTCGATCCTTGGATTGTATCTTCCAGCGTTTCATAGCTTGACCGATTGGGACCTGGCGGGCCGCACATATTTACTAACTCAGACATTCGTGACAAGGTGGATAGGCGTCTAACACTTTTTGTCCGACTTTGGTCATCTCTTCTGTCATCAGAGTCACTCGCAGCACTCTGTTGTGGACTCTGTATGTTCTTATCGAACATAACATCGGTATCACTGGTTAAACTATCGGCTGTACCTATACGCACAATGTCACAATCCCTTGGCGAATTTTTCTCCTCCAAAAGTGAGTTCCCACTCACTTTAATTGCTTTCTCTTCTGACATGGTGAATATTAAGTAGCTACACGCGAGTGTATATAAAGTAGCCACACGCGAGTGTATATAAAGTAGCCACACGCGAGTGTATATAAAGTAGCCACACACGAGTGTATATAAAGTAGCCACACGCGAGTGTAAATATATTGTTCAAATGCCGAATGGGCTTGACTAGTGTCACCCAAGCTTGTATGCTTTAGTCAGTTTGTGAGTGTGAAAATGAATAAGGGAACATTTACTGTTTTGTATACTTCTACTTCCAAACTAGTAAGAAGCACCCACGTTAAACTTGTAAATACTGTCGTTGTGCATCACTACTATACACTACACCCCGATTAATAGATATTTGTGAACACAGTCATCCATAAAATGATACGTATTTATGGGGCCTCCGTATTTATATATGAGCCTGTGGGCTGCGGGTCTGCGTCCTGCTGTAGTAGACGGTAGACTGCTGTGATTTCAGGACCCAGGCCCGAAGGCAGCCCAGGCTCCCAGTCCCAAAGTTCAGACTCCAGAGTCCAGACTCCTCCAGTCGCTCAAGAGTGGACTATGATAATTCACACACAAATGATATAATGGGGGGGGTTTTAATTATTATTTTTTGGCTTTTTAAAGAAAAACATATTTTTTGGCGTTAACGTATTAAAAAGAAATTTATAATCTGTAATATCAAGAAGAAGACTAAAATATTTTTATTTTTTAAATATAAATATTTACTATGATATTTTATGTAAATAAAGAGATGCATACACATTTGTATATTTTAGAGGGCTACAAAATCAGGCTACTGTATTATGTATTTACAATACATATTGAATATAGAGAGGGAGGGGGGATCTCATTCTCATACACCTTGTACAAACTGTATTTTCCAACAGACCTGTCGAAAACGTTCAAAGTTGAACGCTAACGCATCAAAATATATGCCTTTCAAGGTATAAAAAACCCGTTCGTCAGGAAGCCGGCAAGAAACACAGGTCAGAATCCAGATTCAATTGGAAAGGCATTGTGTACTACTCTTGTACAAACAAACTGTCTCTGACTCTCTACCTCTCTGGGCCCTGCTGGGGTTTTGCCCACAATAGTGATAGCACAAGTTCACAACACTCCTAAAAGTCATCAACTCCACCCACAACGCAGGCCGCAGAGTCCTAGGGTCCCAGCTACAGGGCCAGGGCCAGAGGCCCAGGCCCCAGGGGCCCAGACTCAGGGTGGCAGACAGGCAGAGATACAGACTCAGACTGCAGACCACTCATCCCAGTCATAACTCATGAGTCAAGACTAATCACTAACACTGACAGAGTACAGACAGTATAAATAAATATCGATTACTAATTTGTCATTATTTACACTATCACAGTCATCTTATTTTTGGATATATAAAATATAAATTGTCATTCACTTCAGTAGTTCAGTGAGTTCCTGAGTCTCAGCCGCTCGGACTCTCTAGTCTCAGAGACCCACTCAGGCAAACGTCAGAACTCACTACTAGTCATTACGTTTCAACGTTTCAAATTTCTGTATATTGGCAGTCTCATATACATTTTGAGGTCAGAGCTGATAAATTTTGCCCTGTCAACCGGCATATGATCACTTGCTTCTTGTGTTTAATTGGTGTGTGCAAGGTTTCGTGGCCAATAATATTGAAATAGGCGTTCTATCCAGTACACCATCAAACTGCGAGTATGATTTGTGCATAGGCCAAAATATTAGATATAGTGTTTCAACGTAAAAATATCAATCAATCCGTGAAAGTAAAACGTTGTACTTTTATTCCTACAATCTATTTATTTATTTTTTAAAAATAGCCTTCTGTAAAAAATGTTTCTTTTAGTAAAAACATACTACTGTAAATAGGTGATAGGACTTCACTTAAAAGACGGTCGCCGAGTCGCCGAGTCGCCGACTGCCGAGTGACGCCGACAGGCGACAGCTGACACAAATGACAATGCTGAAGCCTGAAGGGCCAACCGCCAAAGCACAAGGGTCAAGCCGCAGGAGCTGGGACTCAGGAGTCTTTATTTTGTTTGCTTGTTTCTATACAGTTACCGACCGAAGCCCTCCAAATGAAGAAAAAAATTGTTTCTATGGTACACCTTGCTCTCCGACTGAGTACGCACGACTCTGGTAGAAGAAAGGCATTGAATGATCCGTCAGAAGTTCAGGAGAATCCGTCCTAATCTTGTGTGAATGTCTTACGCGACAAAAAACACTACTGGCACAAGTGGAGACCTTAACTTTGGTAGAGTACACCCAGGCTACTTTAAATCACAACAAAGTCTATATCGAATCTTGGGTTATTGCAATGTACTTTAAAAAGCATAAGGCTCTGACAGTACGCTCAAAGGTGCAGCAGGAGAGGAGAACTGTGTCACTCGTGGTAGCGCTGGGGAATCAAATCGTTGATCCTGAGTCAGAAGAAAACATATACCTCTATTATGTGGGTGTTTCTGTTGGAAGATCTATGACTAAGAACGATATAGATGTTTTGCTTGTCCTCCAAATATGCGTAGAACCTCAGAATAATGAACGAATCGCGGTGATTATTGAGCACGCAGAATGCATGTTATCAGAGAAAACCATGCAGACAAGCGCTAAAGAGAAAGGTAGTAGATTATGTCACTACAGATTCAGCTGTGACACATAAGGGCAGCATTAGAAAGGATGTATGAGATAAACTTCAAAGGGAGCAATGATGGTGAAAACATGTGGCGGAGTAAGAATAGAATTGCGTCAATCAACTCCAATGTACCTTTTACATATCTGTTGCGTGATTTCTTTGATTGTGAGGATTAGGATATTTTGCATGCAGCTGCCCAAACATGTTCTGATGTTTGGCGCACGACTCCGTTAAGTTTGGGACCAACATTTATTGATATTTCAGAAGAGAGTATGTTGAGAGAGTAAATACTCTTTATTTAGTGGCATATTTACCCTTTTTTTTTTCATGCCAAATGTAAAATCGCCTTTTTTGCCATGCCAAATGTGAAAACGCTTTTATTGTGTGAATTTTTCACACTCGCACATTTTTTTATAGGATTTTTGCAATAGGATTTTTGCAATTTTGTGTCTGTTTGAACCGGACACAGGCAGCAATCTTGTGTCCGTTTGAACTGGACTCAATCTATTTGAGCTTAGCGACGGAGTACATACAGGAATCGCTGGAGCATGCAGAACATATGGAGAGAACGCGAGAAGTTGAGCTGAACCGGACACAGGCGGCAGAAAAGCAGCCGATGTGGCCTCGTGTATGATATTTACAAATCGTATCAAGTGTTAATCAACACAAAAATGAGACCGACCCAATGGTCACTCGTGCCTGGCACTGGACGGCTACACTTAGTTCACGAGCGTTCGGATTACCATTGACCCTACGCTTCAATGTGATTTGTTTTAGGGGGTTTTTTGTACACAGAAGAGACGCTTTGGCATCTACTTTGGACCAACAGACCAAATGGCAATGCGAACGCTCGTAGTGCAGGGTGGTTTCAACCCTGTTGTTTAGTAGTGTGGGGTACTAGTCACGAATCGTATTACCATTGACCCTACCTTGGTTGTACTTGATGTATACCTTTAAGGTATACGTACCTATATCTTGGTTGTATCCTAGCAAAACTTGATCGGTCCACGAAATGAAACATTTCACATTAAACCAGTTCAAGCGACCGTCAATATGAGTGTTCGTACTAGTCGGAATTCCATGTCGATATACCTCTACCGTTGAGGCAAAAAATATGCATATACCCTAAAGGATTGTTATCAGGTGCCAGTACTATTGGTAGAACACGAGCTTGTTGTAGTAGGTCTAATGGTAGGTGATCGAGCTGTAATGGTAGGTGTTAATACTGTAAACTTCGATGGAAATTACTAGGTTTCAAACTATATTAAACTAAAATACAATTTAGTCAGTTAGGATTTAGCAGTGGTAACTTGTGTAAGAATGATCGGGACTG